ATGCAATGCATTTTATTGCTTATTTAGTGCAATTCCTCAAGTTTTTTTTATAAATTTGCTTCCATAAGCAGCAGCCAACATCACAGCTGAGAATCTGCAGTTATAAGCAGCTGTGACCAAATGCAACAACAACAACAAGATATTTGGCTGGTCAGTCAGTTTCTAAATATTCTGCGTATATCATATATATGTGTGAAACTGCTAAAAGAGCAAGCTGGGCTGTGATGAGGTGTCTGTGCTGCGGATGCTCTGGCTGTCGCTCGTGTCTCGTATGAAGCAGACCTCTGGAGCTGGTAGGGCAGGATCTTCTGCAGGAAGCTGCTGTAGGAGGAGAAGGATCTGGAGAAGTCCTGCAGCTTGGCCAGTGTTTCCTGCAGACGTGAAGCACAAGCGGTGACGGCCGTGCCAGACATGATGGAGTCGTGCGTGTGATCGTGTGTGTGTCTCACCAGAGCGGTGATGCTGTCCTCTGTGATGCTGTGATGCAGCTGCAGCAGATCCTCCACCAGCGGACGCAGGTACGAGGCATTCTCGTGCAGATACTGAGAGAACTGCAGACACAGGGCCTCAGATTAGCTCACACACGACACAGGGCCTGAAGCTCAAACATCTGCATCTCTACATTACAGGAGCTCTTTAATCAGACATACTGAGACATATTAAATCAGTAAACCCAGCGTGGCTAACAGAGTACTCACTCTAGAGCCGGATATCATCCACTACCTCACAATGCATTATGTATCATGATATAAACGTCACAGTAGGATATGCGAGAGATAAGGAGGGCTCCACCGATCATTCAGAGCTCTTCATCTGCTCACATTCATCACGTCTGTCCCATCAATGAAATAAAATGATTGTTTTGATAATTTTTTGTGCAATACTTTTGTTAAAGGTGCTGAATGGTTGAGCTGAATTCATTAGATCAACACCGTAATTAGCATTAAACAGAATGAGACTGTTTTCTGACACTCAAACTGTAGAAAGAGCCACATGAGCTCGCTTTCTGGGATGCAACTGAAAATAATAGGCCAAAAATTAATTTGTCTGAAACTGTTTTGAAAAGCTGAAATCACTGACTGAAATGGTAGCCGGGTTTCCATCCAAAGCTGTGAATTTAACTTATATGTACTAACTTATATATTTGAACAGCTTCAGACACCCACCGTGAAGCGCCAAAGCCTACACTTAACCTAGCGGTTAGCGATTAATGGTCTGCTAACTAATCTATTGCCTACTAAACCTGAACCAGCTTGACTCCACCGTAGTGAAGGGCAATAGAGGAGCAGCTTCTAGTTCGCCATTAACACCGAAGCATACGGAGATAAAACAACACAAGTGTCCTGAAGCGTATCGGTAGTCCGGTATTGACCCAATTATGTACGGATCCAAAACAATACTGGCTCTCAGTACCCCACTCTAGTTCTGGGAGGCAGTTATACAGAAATACTTTGATGACAGACTTTGCTCGGGCATCTCAGAGCGACCGTAACAACACTTCAGATGCTGTGGACGAGATCGCTCCGCTGGCTAGTCAGGTTATCCCGTCCCATACGCAGTCACAGGACTGTTCTGATGCGCATGCAGGAATTTGTTCATTGGCTCGTTTCCATCTCCCATTATTCACAGTAACCCTTTTTCACACAAGTGAAACCACCTCAGACGAGCGTCAAAACTTTTTTGCTAATTAAGGGATTTTTTTTTTCTAACTTTGGCATTTCCATCACTAATTTCTGATGCGATACGTCAAAATGTGCATAAAAACAGAGTGATGTTTCATTAGTGTTTCTCTGATGGACTGACTGTCTGTTTCACACAGCGTGGATGAACTACAGCAGCTGAACATGTCAGCTGTGCAGACACTAACATCCATTTATCTGTTTATATCAATCATTCATTTTGATGAATCAAGATCTGTAAGTCTATGCTGTATTCAGCTGAACTAAACTTCACTAAACACTATTTGCTATCCAATAATCACAATAAGCTTTGTTACTTTGAAACATTTACTCAGCTTTCAAATCCTGTCATCACAAAATTCAATAAATGTGGTTTTGTGGCTCTTTAATGTGGCGTGAGATCACTATAACAGAATGAAACCTTTTCATTTTCCAGCTTCTATTAGCTGATGATTAATTGGAGAGATGGCGTCAGAGTCTGTACCTTAAGGTTGACGGGTGAGATGGCCTCGATGGACGAGTCCAGAGGATAGATGTGGACTCTCTGCTCGGTGTAGGTGTGGAAGTTCAGCAGAGCCGAGACCAGATTCTGCACAAAACCCAGAGCCTGAGCCGCCACGTCACGAGCCTTCAGCTGCACACACACACACACAATGTTAATGATGCTCTATCACTGACACGTGTTCGCACTGCTGCATCAGTCACCTCACCTGATGCCTTCTGTTTTGCAGAGGAACGTTCAGACTGTTGTAGTCACTCAGCTCTGCAGGAAACACAACACTCACAGTGATGCACATGACTAAACATCAAACACGTGTGTGTGTGTGTGTGTGTGTGTGTGTGTGTGTGTGTTCTGACCGTCTGCGTGTGCTTATCCTCAGAC